ACACGACAAACATCCTGACCTCCTATACCCTAAGTGCAGCCATGGTCATCTGGAACCACGTAAATGGATCCAAAAAAAGGTAAATGAATAACCAATGGTAGTATTATAACCTGGAGAGGTGATGATGGGTAATTACCAGAGAGTGAACTAATCCCTTATATCGCGCTGCGCTTGCCCTCGTGCCCCAGTTGCGATCCTTTGTCCTGCATGCGAGTTCTACTCTGATTTGATCAAGCAACTGCGAGCGAACGTCCTCTCGTCAACAGACAATCTCTAACGTAAGCTCAATCTCGTATCGCCTACACAATCATGTCAAAACAAACGACTAGAAAATCAACCAAACTTAAAGATTCACCACGGTCTACGCTGTTTGACCAACTGCATCAATTCGAAGGTATTGAGGTAGACGAAGGGGAGCAGTTTCCCTCTCTACCACGACCGTCAGCGACAGCGAACACAGCAAGCTCATCCGTAGCGCAGGAGCTACAACTTGTCCAGCTACAGAAGGAGAAACTTCTGTTAGAATTAGAGGTTTTACGCCTCAAGCAACAAAGCGCCACACCCCCCGGAACGCAAGCGGAGTTGGAGGGCACAAAAYCAATACAGGAATTGAAGAAAAGAGTAATCGATTGGCCTCAAAACTTCGTTCCAGGTATGTCTGCGAGCCCTGAATTTCATAACTTAGATTTGCCTAGTTTTGTATCTGGATTCCTTGCTATRWTAAGGCCTTACGACACCGAGACCAAGGAATGCATGATCGATRTACTTGAACTCATATCGACCAAAGCTATCAGCTACTCCTGGAGTAGYGTTCGTGGTTTTTATTCATATCTTGCKAGACAAGTYGAACAGAGACGGCTAGACTGGTCTCAATTCAACGAAATAAGGAATGCTAGTACAACCTTCTTTAAACACTCCGACCTAAAATCATCGACACCAAAGGGCAATACTCCACGTCAGTCTACATCGGGAAACGGAGAAAAATCGACCGAAAAGGGCTGCCAAACATGGAATTATAAAGGAATGTGTTCTTGCGACAAGGCCTCGGATAACTTTGCAAATACACACGTATGCCGCGTGTGTAAGGCACACGTATGCCGCGTGTGTAAGGCGTCTGATCATCCGATGTTAAATTGCCCGAAACGCAAAATGCCAATACCGGACAGCCAATGACATCAAAATTCATGCACCTTAATTCATCARTTAACGGACAATGGACGGAACTCAAAATCGGACAATGATAAAATGGACATGATCACACAACATCCGCCTGCACAACATGCTACAAGAGCGGTTATTACACATTTACTCGCGTCAAAAGACAAACGACCCAATGCATTCGGAGCGAAAATTCCAGTTACATCAAATCTAAATATTTCTAAATGGAGGTCATATCTAYTTGATTATGCYGACCATGACGTTGTGGAATTTCTTCAATATGGTTGGCCAATTAATTATATGTTGGATGTTGACCCTCAGTTGTCATCTGTTAATCATCGATCAGCGGACATATATCCCGATCACGTACAACATTATATTGACACTGAATTAAGCTTCTGTGCCATAGCTGGTCCATTCTCTTCAAATCCCCTACACCAAATCTTGACAACATCACCTTTACAAACYGTTCCGAAGCGTGGTTCAGATAAACGGAGAGTGGTAATGGATTTAAGTTTCCCGCATGGCCAGTCAGTAAACGACGGAATACCCGGTGATAGCTATTTGGACTCACATTTCAAATTGCACTTGCCAGGTATCGAGCGGCTTCGTSAGTTTATAATTACAAAAGGTCAAGGTTGTTTAATATACAAGAAGGACTTAAGAAGGGCTTATCGACAGTTTCCGGTCGATCCTAAAGACTATAAATATCTCGGATTCAACTGGCAAGACAAAGTGTACTTCGACATACGTTGTCCTTTTGGACTTCGGTCGTCAGCACTCATTTGTCAGAGGTCTACACAAGCAGTAATACACATTTTCAGGAGCGAAGGCTACTTGGCCGACGTTTACTTGGATGATTTTTATGGTGCTGAGCACACTAGTATGGCGATGACTGCCTTTGAACGTCTCGGACTTTTATTCGACGAACTCGGCTTGCAATCCTCACCAGAGAAAGATTGCAAACCTTCAACCGAAATGACTTGCCTGGGAATTCTCGTTAATACGGAGACCATGACTTTCGCCGTACCTGACGAACGCGTCAAGGAATTATCTGAGGAATTACAKCAATGGTTAAATCGAACAAACTTCACAATCCGTCAACTACAGTCTTTACTAGGAAAACTCTCATTTGTTGCGGCMTGTGTACGACCGGGTCGAATCTTTATGTCACGTTTACTAAATCGCCTACGCGAACAAAAGGGTCACCAAACATGTCGGAAAATAACCAAGGACATGCAGCTAGACATCAATTGGTGGCTGGTCTTTTTAAAGCATTTCAACGGGACAACTCTAATACACCTCMATYCCAAGGTCTTTCAAGATATCCGATTTACAACGGATGCATCACTCAAAAGAGGGGGAGCGACATGTTTTGATGAATGTTTTTCCTTCGCATTTCCTTCACACGTGGATTCGCTGCAATTACATATCAACGCACTTGAACTGTACACTTTGGTAGTAGCGGTACGTCTGTGGGCCCCACGATTGACAGGAACGTCTTTTCAAATTTCATGTGACAATGAAGCAGCTGTGCAGGTCTTTCGTTCTGGTCGCTGCCGAGATACCTTCATGCAGCGTTGTTTGAGACAACTCTGGTTCACGGCGGCTCGATACGATCTGGACATTAAAGTTCAACATATACCGGGATSACACAACACTTTTGCGGACTGTCTTAGCCGTTGGGATAATGAGTCTTACGCAAAACAGTTTCAAGACCTAACAAAGGAACATGGACATGACTATACTTTGATCACCTTAGACTCTGATTTGACGCATTTCGAAATCAACTAATCGAAGCAATGTTATTTTCTAGGTCGTCTTCAAGGAGCACCATCGAATCAAACAGACATTGCAACTTTGGATAATCTAAGCAAACAACTAATTAAATCAGCCTATGCAGAATCAACTTTAAAAAATGTACAATCTCAACTCAATAGTTATATTCGGTTTTGTCAATCGATTGATTGCGTGCCTTTTCCTATCACCATAACACAAGTTATTAGATATGTCACTTATCTCGTATCGCTCGGTCGTGCTTATGGCACTATTCAAAACCATATTAGTGCACTGAAACACATGCATAAATTGCTAGGTTACCAGTTGACATGGGATAGTGATTATCGGTTTAAATTGTTAATGCGTGGTACTAAACGTCACTTAGGAACAGCAGTGACTCGTAAACAACCAATTACAGTCGAATTATTGCGCGCATTAGCTCCATTATTTGATTTTGACAATCCACTTCAAGCAGCAATGTGGGCACTATTTCTAGTAGCTTTTTTTTCTTTTCTTAGGAAATCTAATTTAGTAGTGGACTCCGCTGATAATATTTCACCCAAAGTTATTCTTCGTTCAGATCTTAAAATAACTAGTCAGTTCGCATACGTAACAGTTCGTGCGTCTAAGACTATACAGTTCAAAGAACGTAGTTTCARGCTACCARTGCCGCGRATTCCAGGCAATAATTTGTGTCCTGTTAGCGCGCTCTTAAACCATCTCAGGCTCAATAGAGTTTCCGCTGAAGCACCGCTTTTTTCGGTTAAGTCGGGAAACAGGACTTTACCTATTTCTTATTCTAAGTTTTGCACATTTTTAATTACAGTTTTAKGAGCRATAGGAATTGATTCGACCGCATATTCACCTCATAGTTTTCGTAGAGGTGGCGCCACATTCGCTTTTGATTCGAAAATTCCGTCTGAGTTAATTAAAGCTCAGGGTGACTGGCGCAGCGATTGTTATRTAGTATATTTAGAAATGTCAGATAAACAAAAACAACATGCAGCCTTAAAGATGGCTGACGCTATTTTAAACYATTAGTTCACCTCATATACTCTATTATCTATTTACATCACACCAGCTACATTTTCTTTTGGGCATTTTGGCGTTCTTAGATTCATTTCTTTGTACGTTTAATATCGTTTTAGCTTTCAATAAATCTTTTGCCCAAAACTTATGTATCCTGTGTGATCGATATATTAGTAATTTATCACTAGGTTACTGCAATATACAGAAATTATGATGTATACAGCCTTTTGCAAAAATTATGAGAATTGTTGAAATATCTAAATATCATAATATCAAGTGCATGATGGAATCCCGCTAGATGCCCTTAGTCCCTTGTCTTTGTAGTTTAGGGGTTTTTTTTTGGCGACAGACTTATCCGTAGTTCTGAACATTTTCTCGATGTCAACGATGAATTATTCTTTAGCAAACCTGCGTGTTCCGGACAATATATGGATATGGATATTATGATATTTAGATATTTCAACAATTCTCATAATTTTTGCAAAAGGCTGTATATAAAATATATCAGAAATTATGGGACATTATCG